GACTTAACTAGCATGTTATCAATGTAAACTTCCATAGATTTCCCTATTTTTTCTTCGAACATCCGATTTACTAGGAGTTGATAAGTGGCACCGGCATTTTTTTAATCCAAATGGCATTACATTATAGCAATAGGTACCATACTTAGTGATGAACGAGGTCTTTTCCTAATCATCCTTGTTCATTTGTATTTGGTTATACCCAGAATAGGCATCGAGAAAACTGAGGATCTCGTGGCCGGCTGTGGCATCGATCATGCAATCGATATTAGTCAAAGGAAAAGAATCCTTGGGGCATGCTTTATTTAGATCTTTGTAATCTACACACATTCTAAGTTTGTTTCCTTTTTTAGGGACTACCACTACATTTGCTAACCATTCGGGGTATTTTACTTCACGGATGGACCTTATTTTAAGAAGCTTGGTTACCTCGTCTTTGATGAAAGCATGTTTGACCTCGGACTGGGGTATTCTTTTTTGCTTCACCAGATGAAACTTCGGGTCCAAGCTTAGTTTATGGGTGGTGATTTCTGGTGGGATCCCTGTCATGTCGAGATGGGATCAAGCGAAACAATCCATGTTAGCTATAAGAAATTGAATAAGCCTTTTTCTGAGCTCGGGATTTAACCCCATGCCCAGGTATACCTTTCGTTCGGGTAGATGTTCGATTAGTATTACTTGCTCCATCTCTTCGACCGTTGATTTGGTAGCGTCGGAGTCATCGGGGACTATGAAGGATCGAGGGAATCTATAATCCTCATCTTCGTCAGTCCCCTGTTTCTCTAGTTGGGTCGAGGCCGACGTTTGTGATTGCTATTTGGCCTCCTATTTTCCCTTCGAATTTGACCCCTTCGTCGATGAGAGTGTAGATATCGGAATTATTTCGTCAATAATAAACATTTTCTTTGCGGCGGGTTGCTCCCCGTAGACTCTTTCGATTCCCTCTAGTGTTGGGAATTTTAGAACCCGGTGAAGGGTCGATGGCACTTCTCTCATGTTGTGGATCCATGGTCTCCCGAACATGGCGTTATACCTCATGTCGCCCTCGATCACATGGAACTTCATCTCTTGGATGGTCCCGAACACGTTTACCGGCAAAGGTATCTCGCCCTTAGTGGTTTCACATGCCATGTTGAATCCGTTTAGTACTCGGGCCGCGGGCACGACTTGGTCTTGTAGATCGAGTTGTTCTATGACCCTCGATCGAATGATGTTGGCCGAACTACCTGGATCAATTAACACACGTTTAACTTGAGTCCTATTCATGAGTACAAATATTACCAGTGCATCGTTATGGGGTTGTATGATTCCTTCTGCGTCTTCGTCGTTGAACGACAGGTTCCTTTTGGTATGTAATCCTGAGCCCGAGATCGCTTTTCCCTTGTGATTGACACCTTAGTGCATTTTAACACTGGCCCTTGGGGAACATCGATCCCTCCAACAATCATGTGAATAACGTGTTGCGGTCCTTTTTGCTCATTTTGTCTGGTAAACTCTCTGTTTTTGAAATGATTCTTGGCTCGATCGCTTAGAAACTCCCAAAGGTGCCCTTCATTGAATAACCAGGCTACTTCTTCTCTCAATTGTCTGCAATCTTCCATTCAGTGTCCATGGGTGCCATGATACTTACATACTTGATTGGGATTCCTCTGGGCTGGATCGGTCTGCAGAGGTCGGGGCCATTTAGTATCCTTGATGTGTTCGATAGCCGATACAATGGCAGATGCATCAATATTGAAGTTATAATTCTGATAATCGCGGTGCTTCCTTAGGTCCGGTATGCCTGTCGAAACCATCTTTGCTCATGAGCCCTCGAGAGCTCTGACCCCGATCATTTCTCCTTACACCTCGTACAGAGTTGTGCCCTGGTCTGTTGCCCCTACGATCTCTAGTATATGGCTAATATCGATTCCTGTTCGACCTTGGTTCTCGATCAACATCCCTTTTGGTAACAAACCCGGAAGGAGCCCCCAGCTGGTCGTCTTCGACTCTAATCTTCTATTGATATCGATTATGTACATCGACCCAGGTAACAGCCGGGTACTCAATCAAGTTCTACTTTTAACTGTTGTGAAGCCACTGAGCTTCGTTCATTTAGTCCTTGAGTGAAAGCTTGAACGGCCTAATCATCGGCGACCGGTGGTAGATCCATTCGTTCTATTTAGAACCGAGACACAAACTCTCTAAGCATCTCGTTATCTTTCTTCTTTACCTTGAAAAGGTCTGACTTCCTAGTCTCGACCTTTATGGCTCCGACGTGTGCTTTTACAAAAGAATCTGTAAGCATGGCAAAAGAATCGATAGAGTTAGGTGATAAATTATGGTACCATATCATTGCTTCCTTTGACAGGGTTTTTTCGAATTTCTTTAGTAACACAGATTCGATCTCGTCGTCCTCTAGGTCATTCCTTTAAATCGGACACGTGTAAAAGGTGACATTCTCATTGGGGTCGGTCGTTCCATTATACTTACGAATCTCGGGCATGCGGAACTTCTTGGGGATCAGTTTGGGAGCCACGCTCGGGGGGAAAGGTTTTTGTACGAACTTTTTGGAATCCAAACCCTTCAATATTGGTGGTGCCCCCGGGATCTGTTCAACCCTGGAGTTATAAGTTTCCACCTTCTTGTTGTTTGCTTCGATCTTCTTTTCTCCTGACTCTATCCGCTTTGTCAGCTCCTCGAGCATTTTTATAATTTCGGAATTAGTCCTTGATTCTTGTTCATTTGACCTTACCGCGGCAGGCCCCATTCTGCGGGTGACTTCTTGGGGTGGATCGGGCTCAGCCCTACTCCGGTGCCTGGGTTTGGCTTTGTAACTGAGCTATTACCACCTGTTGAGCTTACAACATTTCGAAGATCATGCGTAGGCTGATCCCGTCTTCTCCGATATTTTGAGTATTTCGAGTTGCAGTTCGGGTTTCACCATGGACGCTGTTTTTTAGACCAGTATGCTGGTTTGCGTCGATGGCCACATGTGAATTAACGTCAAGCGGATCCACGGCCCGAGTCCCAACGGGGTCAGCAGGTGGCCTTACATCACTGGGCGTCACGTTGTTATTCTCACCTTGATGGCCAGATCCATTATCGATATGCATGGGCAGTAATTGAGAGTTCGTCATCTTTAGCCTGAAATCAAAGGCACTTCAAAGAGCAAGTGTAAAATTGTGTGTTTTATAGAGATTTGTATCAAAAAACCACAATTATCCTTAGCTCCACGGTGGGCGCCAAACTGTTTACCCGAAAAATGGATAACAATTGAATTTATACGCGGCTCTAAGGATACGTGATATAACTTGACACAAATTGAAAAAATATATTTATTAATATTGAAATCAACTGTAAAAGAAATAAATGCAAACCAAGTGAATCAATTAGCCTTGGCCCTCAGGTTCGATCACCCTCGAACCAAGTAAAGATTCTGCTAGTATATGAATAGAGTAACAAAATATTGAAAGCCGAAAGAAGATAGTATATAACTTTGTATTGCATGGATGTTCCCCCTCTACAAATGATAAGACCCCCTTTGTATAGTAGGGACGTCCTACTCTCAATATAATTCTAAATACAATAAGGAATTTCATGATAGATTAATTAATTGGCCTCTCCTTGATATGCGCCGAGATTTCCGCCAAGATTCTCGCCCAATTGCGGATATTTCGGCTTTCTATTTTTTGGCTCGATAAACTTTCCTCAATCTTGGCGGATCTCGATCTTGATCTGTCTTTATTTTGCTCGATCTCGATCTTGGCCGATCTCGATCTTGATCGATCTCTGGATCACGAGCCCGACAATCTAACTTCACATCATGGCTCGATATCACACGAGGTTGAACCTTGGTCTATCATGTTCCAATCTCGATTAGTCATACGAAGGGCAAGCTCGGTTTTGACCATATGCACTACTATTTCTAAACCTAATAACAAACACTATTTGTAGAAAACAAAATAATAGAAATACTTGCTTAATCAAAATTAAGAATAGCCAAATAATATAAATTATCAATCAAATTTCTAAAGAAACAATTACCAAATTATACGCCCATAGCTATGCTCTATAGTCATAATCTTGTTATTCAGTTGGATAATTTGAATTCTTTCATTGTATCTAAAGTTTGAAGATCCTATTTCTTAAAGCCATAATCATCCCCTTTTTTAACCATGGCCAAAGCTGGAGAGGATTTCCTCAGCTCAAATCTCATTGTCGAAGTGAATTAAATTTAAGAATGAGTAATTGTTAATCTTTTATTGCAAAATACCCAGAAGGAATTTAAAGGACACAATATTAACTTTAAGAATGAGTAATTGTTAATGTTTTGCCGCAAACACCCACAATTAAAACAATTATTTTTAAAGGGAACAATATTAGAAGTATTATGATCAGAATAATAAATTAATAAGTTAATCTTCATAGATACTCTAAAGGAAATTTAAAACAATTATTAAAAGGTACACGATATATATAAGGACTTGGAAGAAGAAGATATTGTGAATCACAATTCACAAACTTTTAGGAATCCATTCCAATGTAATAGCTTTCCTAAAAATTTTATATCCCCGAATTGTGACTCTCAATTAATTCTACATATAATCACAAATAAGTTAAGTAAATAAAAAGATGCTTGTATATATTAGTAATGGCATTAAACCAATGATTACTATTGAAGCAGACATGCATCCCCAACGGAAAATCAACAAACATATTAAAGAAAGTTCACAAGAAAACCAATACACCCGCAGAAAAAGTTAACCTTATAAGTTCGGGATTATAATCCTTTTATGTTATTTGAGTTTTAAATTAATAATTTGTGCATATTTATTAGATTTTTTAATATATATACAGGGTTTGAACAAAAGCTACTGGATTCCATCAACCAACTCTGTGACTCCAAATATTTTTTACGTAATTAACTTCACTATTTCCATGGAAAAACTCAGAAGTCATACATGAAATTAATCGCGAAAGAAACTATTATACGAACAAATTAACACTGCTAAATCGCATTATATAAATTGTGAAAAACGAATGGAAAAACCATTCCGATGTTTCCTTTATTTAAACTCGTAGTTTACATTATATTTAATATACTAAGGAGGAATATGATCCTTCAGTTATCAGGAATACAACAATTGCACTCTATGCAATAAGAAGCAGCATATTCTACTATCGGTAACACGACATACAACCATTGGGGCTTAATTGGTTCATTCAACTGTCCACTTGTACTCTGAGCTTCATTTGCTGCACCCAAATTCAAGTATTAATAGTGTTCTCTAAGATAATATAATGGAGATTAATTAAAATGAAAAATGCATGTTCCATAAATAAAAATAGCAAATAGAGAGCTTTTTCTTCTTCTCTTTATGTCACGACCCAATTTAGGATCATGACCGGCGCTTAAGGGCAAGTGCCCCTAAGTAAGCGCCATCAGTATTTTTATAGAAAATTCGACAGAGTTTTTCCTAATTTAGGACTATTCACAGATTTTTCGTTGTTTCATTTATTACTGGGGTCGGGGGGAAGCGGTTTAGATTTACTTTTTTACTATATGAAATATCTTAATTTTATTTCTTATTTTTTAAACATTTTGAGGTTATTCATATCTTTTTCATTAGCAAAATTATCTCATGAACAAACACTAAATCGCATTATTATATCTTATATTATTGTTTAGAAATTGTTTTAGGAAGTACAAAGGCATGTATGAACTTGCCTCCTCGTACAATACAATATATGTAGACAAAAGAGTTGAGTAAACTCTGCAACTTCTGCTACTATTATTTTCTTAATTATTATTTTAACAACTAGTACTATGTATATATTATGAGAAGAGTGGAAAGTGATGGTCCATTATCTAATCTCATGTTATATAATATATTAGTATACTAAGGAGGAATATGATCTCGTTCAGTTCGAAGGCAAACAACAATAGCACTCTGCGCAAGCAGATGAAATATATATATATATATA